AGAAAGAGTCTCCCAAGAGAGAAAGAGAGAAATAATAAAGTTACCAGAAATTCTTTTTATTATCTGGAAATTATAAACAGCAGTTAATGTAAACTTAACATTTTTTTCTTTTATTTTATTTTTTCTTTTTATTCTTTTTATTATTTATATTTTTATTTAATTCCATACATTATGTAATATAAGATCAACAAATCACAGTAAAAAATACATAGAGGAAGACTTGGAAATGAGAGGGAAAGAGCATAATTAATTGACAAGGCAATGAGGTACTGGTATGGTATCCTAATTAGTTCACCTTTCATTCTGGGCTTCTTTGTGTCTGCAGAACTACCTCATTCTATAGTCTTCATCTCTGCTCATTGTTCTTAAATTTACCTTCTTAAGTATAGAGGTATGAAAAAAGAGTTGAGTTAGGTGGCCCCCAGCTGTGTCTTTCGCTTTTCCCAAGGAAAGGGCACTTAGGACTTAGCAGTGTGTTGTGACAGCCCAGCTCCTTCTGGAGGTGCTGCTTGTTACAGGAGTTGGGTTGCAGATCCCTAAATTGTTCCCTTCTAATTTTGTCACTGAGGCCAGCCGCCCACAGCAGCGGCAAGTTGAGCATTGGCTCTATTCCCATGCTATACCTATGGTATCACCTGCACTAGTTCAAAGTGCCTTCCCATGAGAGATTTAAACAGAAGACCTTTTCTTTTTCTTTTGGGAAAGAAGAGACAGTTTATCCAAGAGATAGTTAAAAACTGAAGAACTGATTTGATCATAGCCTAGGGACAAAAAATAGGGGAAAGTGTCTTAAAGCAGAACATTCTCCAGTTTGGCAGATAAATGAATAGAAAGAGATCTGAAGGACCTCCAGGCAAATACACAACAGAAATAGTGTTTGCTTTTTTTTTTTTTCAGAAATGAGCATGCTTTAATGTTGGAATTTACTACAATTTACAATTGCAATTTAAAGTCTTCAGAGCATATCCTGAACACCTTGAATAATAGACTGTAATGCAGGAAGTCAGTCAGTGAATAGTAGATTAAGTGCTAAACAAACATTGTTTGTTTTTAGCATTATCCATTTCGTGTAACAAAGATGTTCACTATAGACAACAGCTTAACACCTTTATATTAACTCTGTAGTACTGGAGGACCTTTTGTGAGAAAAGGAATTTGAAGTAATTGTTAAATGAATTAAATGTAAATTTGAAGTAATTCTGCTTTTATTGTCTCTAGTTTCCAAGGAAGTAATAACAGCACTATGTAACTAATCGGGTTATTAGATGCTAATAACTAATTAATGTATTTCCCTAGAAGATACTGCAGCAGTCATATTAATTTTGATTAAAATATTCAATTGCAAAATAAATTCAGTGATTTAAAAAAAAAAAAGTATAAATACTGTATAAGAATTACACAACAAAAGAAACAACTTCATTCTCAATACATATTAAGTCACTAATTGTATATAGAATTTCTAATATAAAAAATACTTGAGAACTGTGCCAGACTTAGACCATCAGTTCCATTTTTGTTGTTCCTGAGAGTAGAATACTGCTCTGAGAAAATGATTTATTTTGTGCTCTTAAGTTCCTCTTTCTTTTGAGCTATTTATATATTTAGCATGCTTTAAAAGTCGTTTGCCTTACTTTTCTTTTTCATCCAACACATAAACCACATTCTTTCTGTGAGATTCATTGACTGATCATTAAAAAATAATTTATTTATTTATATATTTATTTTGCGGAGGCTGGAGGAAGACTCCTTGTTTTGTGGTCCATGACACCAAAAATTATATAAAATATACATATTATATATATATATATATAAAGCTGAAGGTTTATTTTGCTAAACAGGTATACATATGTAACTGCTCTGTGATTGAAGTCTTTGATCAGAGGGCAAGATTTTTGGAAGAATTGGATTCCACCTCAAATTTCATCTCAAGGTTTAATTCACAGCCAGCCACAGGAAGCTGAAGTTGAAGGAGAGTGGCTGAGAATGAGGGAGTCTTCAATCTTTGTCTTTGATTTATTCCTTACATGCATGTGGCAGCTGTGATTGATAAATAAATATATTCTGGACGTTGTTACTTATCCTTAAAAATGCATCGACGAAGCATTGTCCATGCTTGCGACATTATTCCTTTTCTTAAGGAAGTGGAACAAATGAGAAAACAGGATGTGTGTGGCAGGGATAAGTATTACACAAGTAGTCATGACATAACTTATTCTTTATGTGTATCACTTACTCTGGGACATGTTTCACAATATTTAGAAAGCTTAGAGTGATCATTCAAGGTGCAGCATGTCTCTCTCTCAGCCACCACTGAGATGAACTGGCTTGCTCACCTACAATCCCTCAACAGCATCCTTTTCTTTGCCCTCTCTTTCCAGACCTAAGCTAAAAGAGCACAAACCAAAAACCAAGTGCACAGCAAAACCAAAAAACAAGATGGTCATCTACATGAGAAACTTTCTGATGCCAGTTGCTAGAATGAGCTTCATGGGTAGAATTACAAGAGATATCCAGGCAGAGATATTCTGTTCTGAAACAACAGAAAATGTTGTATCAGCTATATAATAGAATCATAGAATGGTTTGGGTTGGAAGGGATCTTAAAGACCACCTAGTTCCAACCCCCCTGCCGCTAGACAAGGTTGTTCAAAGCCCCATCCAACCTGGGCTTGAACATTTCTGGAGATGGGGCATCCACAGCTTCTCTGTGCAACCCGTTCCAGTGCCTCACCATCCTCAAAGAGAAGAATTTCTTCCTTATATCTAATCTAAACTTACCCTCTTTTAATTTAAAGCCATTAACCCTTGTCCAGTCCCTCCTCTGCTTTCTTGTGGGCCCCCTTTAGGTACTGAAAGGCCTCTTTAAGGTCTGCCCAGAGCTTTCTCTTTTCCAGGCTGAAAAACCCCAACTTTCTCAGACTGTCTTTGTAGGAGGGATGCTTCAGCCCCTTGATCATCTTTGTGGTCCTCCTCTGGACTCACCCACCAGGTCCATGTCCTTCTTGTGCTGGGGGTCACAGAGCTGAAGGCAGGGCTCCAGGTGGGGTCTCACGAGAGCAGAGCAGAGGGGGAGAATCACCTCCCTCACCTTACTGGCTACCCTTCTTTTGATGCAGCCCAGGATACGGTTATGTTTCTGGGCTGCAAGTACACATTTCTGGCTCATGTTGAGCTTCTCATCAACCACCACACCCAGGTCCTTCACATCAGGTCTGCTGTCAATCATTCTCCACCCAGCTTCTATTTGTGCTTGGTATTGTCCTGGCCCAGGTGCAGTACCTTATGCTTGGCCTTGTTGAATCTTATTAGGTTTGAACAGGCCAACCTCTCAAGCCTGTCCAGATCCCTCTGAATGGCATTCCTTCCCTCCAGTGGGTTGACCACACCACACAACTTGGTGTCATAGGCAACCTTGCTGAGGGTGCATTCAATGTCACTGTCCATATCACTGATAAAGATGTTGGATAATTCCAGTCCCAATACTGACCCCTGAGAAATATCACTCATTAATGATCTCCACCTGGGCACTGAGCTGTGGGACACAACTCTTTGAGTGTGACCATCCAGCCAATTCTTTAATCACCAAGTGGTCCAACTGTCAAATCCATTTCTCTCCAATTTAGAGACAAGGATATTACGGCGGACAATGTCAAGTGCTTTGCACAAATCCATGTAGTTGATGTCAGTTGCTCTTCCCCTATCCACCAGCGCCATAAGACCCTCGTAAAAGGTCACCAGATTTGTCAGACATGATCTCTGCCCTGAATGAAGCCATGTTGGCTGTCACCAATTTCCTCCTTATTTTCCATGTGCCTTAGCACTGTTTCCAGGAGGGTCTGCTTCATGGTCTTGCCAGGCACAAATGTGAGACTGACTGGCCTGTAGTTCCTCTAGTCTTCCTTTTTCCCTTTTTAAAAATGGGAGTTATATTTCCCCTCTTCCAGTCAGTAAGAACTTTACTGGACAGCTACAAATTCTCAAATACGATGGACAGTGGCTTAGAAATTACATCTGCCGGTTCCCTCAGGACCCATGCATGCATCTCATCAGGTCCCATGGGAGGGGACCTTCAGGACCTTAGAAGGTCTCAAATCTGATCTCTTACAGTGGGTGGTTCATCATTCTCCCTGCCCCTGCTTTTGCCTTCTGAGGCTTGGGCTATGTGTGTGGAGCTCTTGTTGATGAAGGAGGAAAAAAAGTCATTGAGCACCTCAGCCTTTTGTATATCCCAGGTGACCAGGTCTCCCATTTCCTTTCAGAGAGGGCCCACAATTTCCCTAATCTTCCTCTTATCACCAATGTTCCTATAGAACCCTTTCTTGTTGCCCTTGATGTCCCTGGCCAAACTTAATTCTAAAATGGCTTTGGCTTTCCTAAACTGATCCCTGGCTGCTATCACAAAGTAAAATCACTAGTCGCGACTTCCTTTTTCATGAGATTACGCTTCCTGGATTTAACTATAAGGTACACATCATTTCTTTTTCTTCTTCTTGGAAAGAAGAAAATACAAAAAATCCAAAAATTTTCCACACTGGAAATTGTGGAGGGGCTTTTAGATTTGTTTTTCCAAAGGAGCAAGGGTCAATAAATTGTTTTTAGAAAGTTGCTGCTTTTTCTTCACAAATGTGAGTTCAGACTAAGTAAACAAGCAGCATTTATTGTCTGAGTTTCTCTTATATACCACCACACCTAAAAGTAAGATAAGTCATGAACCAAGGCAATAAGATAAGTAGTTTATGAGATTTTATTATGAATAAAATGTAGAATTCAGCTGCAGTGTTCAAGAGCATAATCCTGTATGAATATGATTCTTCCACATAGATGAACGAATCTCAGTATTCTCAGTAAGTTATAGATTAGAATCATCTGTAAACAAGAAAACAAGAATATAAGGTAAAAACTCACTTGTTTAATGTTGCAGGAATTTTTCCGTTGAACACTGAGAGCAATTTCCCATTGAGGGATGACAGTTAAAAAGCAGGTTTCGATTGAGTTCTTCAGCAGAAGAAACATGGGAGGAAAAAAGTTGTATCAAAAAGGAAGGTCTAATTGACAGACTGTCTTTAATTAAAAAGTCAATATAATTACGAAAATACAAGACTGGTCATGTGCATTTTTAAGTAACAACCTACTTCCAGAACCTCTCATTCTTGTGGAGTTGTAAATATATATATATATATATATATAAATATATATATAAAAATTGATAAAGTATGTAAAGTCAGGAATGCAGATACTTCTATGAGGAGTATAGCATAGATAAACCCAAAGGCTAAGGCAATGAAACTAGAACATGGTTTGTAAGAAGAAAGAAAATATTCAGGAAAAAAAAATAATAAAACATTGAAACTGGTAGAAACTGAAACCTGAATCCTTCAGTTTTGCAAGCTTGCCAGATTTTCCATAATTGTATAAACCTATTGTCAGTAATCATAATGACACAGCTATAAAAAGCCTGAAATTTTATTTCCTCAAATGTTTCTGAATTTGCACTGGAAAAGATGTTTTTTTAGTGTGTGATTCTTTTTTTAAAACAAAACAAAACAAACAAACAAACAAAAAACACAGTTATCTAGATCTGCTTTTGCTCAGAACTTTGCCATTAGCAGTATGTCTGAGTAAGAACAAAGGAAGGAAGACAAAGGCCAGATAGATAAGGCCACTGATTTAGATCTGTTGCTATTCTGATACCACTTCTTCAGCTGCATACCTGGAGCAAAGAAACACTTTCCCCCTCCCCAAACAAAACAAAACAAAACAAAACAAAACAAACAGCAACACTAAACCAGTTTTAAATATCTTAATAGGGTTTCCAACTGCCTCAACATTGTTTCCATAATGTGCACAACCACAGTAAGAATTTGTCCCCATGATGTCCATGCTTTATTTTCAACTTGTATATTTTTCTAAGTAAATAATCCCATGTATAAATAATGTGAATGTACTCATTAACCAAGGAATGCATCCAGATTCCGTTTAAAGATTACATGTCTAGATTATCTTTTTCAGTTTCACTAACAGCAAATGGACACTATAGAAATGGTTTGACTTCTCTGTGCTTTAGTTTTCCCATTTATACTTGTGGAGATAATGGTGGATTTCTGTGTATGTCTTTTGCATTTAGACACAAAATTTATCTTCCCACATTAAGAGGCTAACTTCCATACACACTTGATGAAGCTGAGGTCCTACAGAGGCAACTGGGAAGAATAAGAACCTAAATGAATATCTTGTTAAGAGTAAATGGAAGAATGTCACTGATGACTGAATATTTCTGATGAACAGTTTATCACAGAGATTCTTTCTTCAGGCAGTTACTCTCAGAGTGAGATTTAGAAAATGAAGAGGCAGAGGGTATTCAGAAGCCAAAGGTTTGCTGGTCTGAAGTGCTTGTGACCCAAATACAATTACTACAGAACAAGAGCTCTTGATCTTCACAGGATCTTTTAGAGATGCTGTTATCATGTTCCTGCATGGGATGTCATTTTTCCTACAAAGTGCTCCAAGTTTATATATGAACAAGGAAATGAAATTAGACCCATTTTGACCTTCAGAGGTCCCTTCCAATGTAAATTATTCTCACAGTGAGTCAGCTTTAAGTTTCTCATATGCCAGTTCTTAAAAATAAGGAGATCAAAGAGATAAAAGAGGATTTTATATACCGGTTCTGTTTTGGGACCCTCACTACAAGTAGGACATCGAGGTGCTGGAGCATGTCCAGAGAAGAACAATAAAGCTGGTAAAGGGCCTGTAAAACAGATTTTAAAAGGAGCAGCTGAGGGGACTGATGTCCATCCTAGAGAAAGGGAGGCTCAGGGGATACCTTATCACACTGTACAATTACGTTAAAGGAGGTTGTAGAGCAATGAGGATTGGTACTTACACCAAGTACAAAGTGACAAGGCATGGGAAAATGGCCTCAAGTGGCATCATGGGAGATTTAGTTTGGATACAAATAATGTACATATACCCATTGCTACTCATCCCGTACCTATCCTTTCATCACTTCTCAATGGAAGAGGAGAAAAGACTTCTCCTCATAACCTCAGATAAGCCAAGTGATCTTGTGCCCTAACCACACAGGCTGAGAAAGGGGAAGCTGCTTCAGGTAGAAGAAGTGGTGTGGGGAGAGGGAGGGACATGTCATGGGAGTAACTGAGGAGCAGAGGTTCCTATTTCAGCATTACCTTGTGAAGAGAGTTGCATTACAGCTCACGGTAATATACTTACAGACACAGATTGTTTAGGCTTACAAACACAACCATTAAAAGGCATTCTTTAAAACAAAGATATAGAACACCCACTTTGCTGCCGAGGTCCTGCTCTTTCTCCTGTTTCAGTTGGTCATCAATAAAACCACTGCAACAAACTGAGACAAAAAATAACACCCTTCTTATCTCTAATATTATGTGAAGGTTGGTTTTCTTGTTTGTGTTTGTGCTCCTGTCTTCCTAGATGTCTAGAACTAAAACAAAAATGTCTTGTTTGAAGAAAGGACTAGGCCGAAATGTGGGTGTGGAAATGCAGGAGGCAGCTGAGATAAGCAAATTCAAATCAATAAAGAGCATCTTCTCCCCATGGGCCAGACCAGTAACCAGAAGAGAAAAGGCTGTAAGAGAGAGGAGAGAAGCTGCCCAGACTCTGCTGCAGACAGAAGTGCAAGGTGAGAGCACACTGCTTCTCCCAAAACTATCTGAGCAACACATGAATGTTTATGATGCCTTTTTAAAGACTTCAGCTGAAGAACTGTCACAAGTTTTAGGAGGGTGCTCTATAAGCCAAAGTGAGGAACAGGCCCAAGCCCTTATTCTTCTAAACAGCATTTGTTCTCTTCTTCAGGTTATCTCTGAAGTCAGGCCCATTCCCAGATTAGGTTTTAAGCAGCCACGGTGGAAGAGATCTGCCTGGGGAACAAGAATGAAAGGAGGGATTGAAAATGCTCTGGAGCAATCATGGTATGCCTAAAGAAATTGTCCAATGGTTTCCCTCCTTGTATGACTTGGCCTTATATGTTCTGTAGTTTGATGGTGTTTTGCTCTGGAGAAGGTCTGGGCAGGCAGAGGTAAGTGATTCTGACAGTTTTGTGTGTCCCCAGATCCCACGTCTGTCTGGGCCTGCTGACACTGTCCCAGTTGATACACAAGGGCCTGTGACACAGGACCTGGGTGGAAATGGTGAAGCTGAGCTCCTAAAGCAAACCCCACATCGCTGGACAGAAGTCTGAAGATCTCAGGGAGGAGCCAGCTCAGACAGCAGCCAAGGAAGCAGATGAAAAGGAAACTGAACAGATTGCTTGGAAATTATCAGTAAATCCTTCTTTATTTCTATCATGCCATAATTTAGCTAGTGTTTTTCTCTGTTCTTCCCAATTCTCCCCACTTCTTTTTTCCTACTTTCCTTTCTTTATCTCATCCTCTTTGTTTTCCACAGTTTTCTCCATCTGCCATTTTCAAAGGTTTCCCTCAGCCTACCTGCTGTCCTGCTCTCCCTCCTCACTCCCATGCAGCAGCTCCATGCAAAGGGATCCCCTTTCCAAACTCTTTCCAACCCATTGCCTGTGAGCCCTTCTGAACTTGTTTCTCTCATGCCTTCTTATTTTATCCCATGCAAGTTCTCCAAAGCTTCTTCAGATTTATGACCTTTTGGACAATCTGACAGCAGTAGAGCTCCCATCCCACATCCAAGCCCTAGACAGCATTCCCACCAGTATATCATTTCTCCAGTGATTAGGGCTGCTGCCCAGTCAGACAGAACTGGTAGACTCAGCTGTTGGAAGCCTGAGTTGAAAAGATAATTGTTCTTACATTTTCCTGACTCCTAATTGTGAAATTTGCTTAAGGTACTTTTTGAGATGAATGTGTCAGTAAATGCTGTCCCTGTTTTTCATAAACACATACAAACACACTAACAATAATTTTCTAACAAAATCATATTTACTCCACCAGTGATCCAAATAACAGCAACTTTGGGCATGGCCTAGCTCCTCCTGGCAGCCTGTGTGCTAAAGTAAGGTGAACAAGCGTCTCACACACACTTGACCCAACCACAGGAGATGCTGGAGGCCTCCAGTGAACTGAAAGCTGGAAGTGGCCATTCCGTTCTAAACCAGGGACTTCCAGTGGGGAGTGCATGTTCTCTCACTGTGCAGTAACAAATGCCAAGCAAGGTGTATGTCAGCTAAACATTTGCTGGCAACAATTTATATTGAATCCTGTCACAGCAAACTTACACATTCTCCACATCAAGTTCAGTATCTTTTCCTCACCGTGTATAGTAACAATATTCCACAGTGAATGGTAGAGCTAAACAGTTTCCTGGAGAAGGTTGTTGTAAGCCAGGGTATTGCATGTAGCTATGGCATTTTTCAGAGTCTGCCAGAAGTAGGGCTGAGATCGAGGGTTAGTCGGCCATTCCAGGACAGAACTTCTGCACAGCCTTTTCCTCAGCCTAACATACCGGGACTTCTGCAATATTTTCTCAAGAAATATCAAGATAATCACATCAATCTTTTCATCTAGAAGGCGCTGGTGGGCCATGTAAAATGTTGTCTTGAAGCTGCCACTTTTAATATACTTGTTGGTTAGCACAAATATGGTCTTTTTGCTCAGTTGAATGCTCTGGGAAAGGTTGTCAAAGACTGGCTGTCCTGGAAGCCAGTCCCTTTCTTCTAGGCATAAATTGAACTTTCTGGTTTTTTGATCTTCCAGCTTTTCAACCAATTCTGTCATCACCCATTCATTCACAGCTGGATCTGTATTGTCAAAGGCAATAAATGCATCATAGCAAGTATCTTGTAAAGGTAAACGTCTATAGCCCTTCAACTTTGCAGTGCAGTAATGATAACTATACCACACATCCCAGAAATATAGGTGGCTCATAACAGCAAACACCATAAAACCTAGGACAGCTGAAGCTGATAATGCATACATGATCAAATAGGAGGTGTCCAACTCGCAAGTATACAGATCCAGGAAAACCAGACTCTTTCCTTTATGTGCCCCTGGGCCAGCACATGTCACATCTGTGGCCAGAAGAGGAATAGTCACTTGAGTCTGGTTGATCCACCAAACAAACCACACTGCATCACAATTGCACTTGAAAGGATTGCCATGCAAAAGCAGCATCTTCAGGTTGTTAATGACATTTTCGGGGAAGCTAGATTTCTTAATTATTTGGATCTTGTTTGAACTGAGATCCAAGTATTGCAGTCCAATTGCACCTCTGAGAAAATATTTGGTTAGCCGTTGAATGTGATTGTTTCGGAGAATCAGTTCTTGGAGTGTGGAAGTGCAATTGGACAGTTCTCGGGGAACAGTAGTCAGAAGGTTGTTGCTGAGGTCCAAAGTTGTTAGTTTTTTCAGCAAGTAGAGTTTTCCCCACTTGAAAGCCTTCAACCGGTTATTGGTTAAGTTGAGTATCTTGAGTTCTGGAGGCATAGCTTCAAAAACATCAGAAGGCAAAAAACTGAGTGAGTTAAAGGAAATATCCAGTTTTTCCAAGTTGGTCAGATTCTTGAAGAATGACAGGTATCTAGCATTCCCATCCATCCATAAAACATCTAAACGATTTCCTCTGAATTCTAAAATTTTAAGAGATTGGCTTTCCATCCCTGTGCTAATAGAGGTAGAAATCTCATTCTCATTCATCATCAACTTTTTCAGATAGGCTAAGTTTTTCATGAAATTAAGGACATGAGTAACACCTTCTGCCAGAAAATAATGTTTGTTGTTGCTTAGGTCTAGAATTTCTAAAAGTTTCAGCTCTTCGAAAGCAGTCGAGTATAGCAAGTCAATCCTGTTGTTAGAAAAATCCAGATATTTCAATCCAGACAGGTAGTGGAATTCACTTCCATTTAAAGTTTGACTTATTGCATTACCTGACAAGTTGAGGCATCTCAGGAAATCAAGATCCTGGAAGTCTGAGGGGCTAATAAAAAAGATGTTGTTTCTGCTTAAATCCAGAGTTTTTCCATAATCCAGACAATCCCTATTTACTGAAGGTCGGTAGGAATTAGCTTCTTTGTCTTTGGACTTGCAACTTCGGCCATACTCATCATACCTGAAATAATGCATCTCTTGTAAAACTTGTCTGTTGCGTTGCTCTACTGAAATCCTGGGATTAGAGCAAATTCCATAGGAGTTGCTTTCACTTGAAGAAGGAGAAATTTTATTCACTGACAGATCTATGACTTTAAGAGCTTGGAATCGCTTGAACACTGTTAGGTCAGCAACTTTAATAAAATTAGTCCCAAGATCCAACACTGTTAGATTTCTAAGATTGAGCAATGGATATAGATTTTCTTTTTTCAGTTCTTTAAAGACATAACCCCTGATCCTCAGGATTTCCAGATTTGAGAGGGTAGAAAATGTCTTGGACAGGTTCAAGGATGGAGAATACATTTGAAGTTCAAAATTAAAGGACAAATCCAGTTCTACAAGTCTGGGGACAAACTTCAAAAACTGAGCATCTCCAATCTCCTTCATGAGGAAATTTTGGGAGAGGTCAAGCTCTTCGAGATTCCTTGTGTTTTTAAACCAGCTGCTGGGTATATTCCGAAGAGAGTTACTGTGAAGTCTCAGAATTCTTAATTTTTTCAAGGAATAAAAAGCCTTTGAATGTATCTTAAGTGCATTATTGGGGCAGGGAACACAAGGATATGGGGCATTATAGCAACGTGGGCAGTTACCACTGAGATCAAGAATTTCTAGGTTGTGAAGGGCACTTAAATCGTATTCCTGAACCTCTTGAATTATGTTATTGTAAATATACAATTCCTTTAAAGTAGAGGACAAGTTGGGTGGAATATGAGTTATGTTGTTAGACTTCAGGGACAGCACTGTCAAATTTTTCAGATCCAGAAAGGCTGTTTGTTCAATTTCAAAAGAAACATTGCATGGGTTACGGTAGTAACAGTTCTGTCCCAGATACAATATTTCTATGTTTCTTAGTTCTGATAAATTAGCTTTTTGGATAGAAGAGATACTGTTTGCTTCTAGACTTAGCAGACTTAAAGTACTAGGAAGACCCCGGGGTATTTCCGACAACTGATTTGCATCCAAGTACAATGACTTCAGTCTTGTCAGAGCAGCAAAACTGCCATTCTCAATTGTTGGTGTCCTGGTGCACACATGATCTTTGGGCCCCAACCTGACAGGCACGCAGTTGCATCTAAAGTCAATCTCCACAAGCCTTTCAAGATAAGCAAAAGATGTTGGATAAATATGGGGGATATGATTAATAGTCAGGGTCAGGTTTGTAGCATTTGCGGGGATCCCTCTGGGGACTTCTGTGAGGCGACGATCGCTGCAGTCCACTCTCACTGAACCTTCAGAGGCTTCTACATCACAGGGTAAACTTTTAGGAAACCAAGCTCCTGACAACAACAGTGGAAATAAGAAAAGCAAGACAAATGGCAGTGCATTTGATGTCTCTGCATGAGGTACCTAAAAATAAGGAAATAGGGAGGTATTAATTGAATGTAATGGGAACATGTGACATAGGACATCCGATCAACCATGTACTGGGTTAAATATTCAGTTCATCTGGGATCCTGTCTTACAGCGGCCAGAAGTGGATGTGCAGGAAGGATTCTAAGTATAGGGGACAGCTTATATTGGTATTTCCTCAAATGCTTTCTTTCCTCTCTTATCCCTAAACATAGTAGTGACATGATAAATATCACTTTCTAAGTAATAGATCTTAAAAAGTTAAAAATTCTGCTAAAGATTACAAGATGGTTGATTAAAGTCTGAGAATTTTATTTAAGGGGAAAGAGTGTTAGACATCCAGCAAATTGAAATTGTATAATATACATAAATAAGTAAAGTCAGGATTTAGAAGCAGACAAAAGCATAAAAGAAAATCTATAGCCAATTAAGAACTAGTATACATTTTCAAAAATGTACTAACAGCTGCATGTATAATTCAAATTTCACATAAGCATTCTTCCTCTATTATGTGTCAGAATAAATGCATGGCTGACCAAAAACAGTCAGTGACTATGCCTCAACTGCAGCCAACTGTGTCCTGGGCTGCATCAAAAGAGATGTGGCCAGCAGGTCAAAGGAGGGGATTGTTCCCCTCTACTCTGCCCTCGTGAGGTCCCACCTGGAATGCTGCATCCAGGTCTGGGGTCCTCAGCACAAGAAGGATGTGGACCTGTTAGAACTAGTCCAGAGGAGGGCCGCAAAGGTGATCAGAGGGCTAGAGCACCTCTCCTATGAAGAAAGGTTGTGACAGCTGAGCATGTTCAGCCTGAAGAAGAGAAAGCTCCAGGGAGACTTCATTGTGACCTGATGGAGAGGGACTCTTTACTCAGATAGGTAATGACAGGACAAGGGGGAATGGTCTTAAGCTAAAAGAGGATAAATTCAGGTTAGAGATTAGGAGGAAATTCTTCACTCGGAGGGTGGTGAGGCACTGGAATGGGTTGCCCAGAGAAGCTGTGGATGACCAACCTGGCCCCTATTTCAGGGGCAATGGAGTTATCTGATCTTTAAGGTCCCTTCCAAGCATATGTTTCTATGATTCTATGATTCAATATACTTTAATATCAGCTTGCATTTTCACTGTCCAATAAAAACAGAGGGCCAAGAGGGCACTGCATCAGTGGTAGGTCTGAAAGTGAAAATCAAACACAGATTTTAAATGGAACGTTTATCTTAAAAGAATTACAATAATTCAATATTCAGGGCCAAAATCCCATAAACATTTGTAGAGCCTTGAAAAAAACACAGTCTCTCAAGTCTTTGTGATCTTGACTACTTTACAGAGTAGTGTGTATGGTGGGAAGAGCAATGGGATTTTAATACTTCATAACATGCTAGTTACTTCTTCAGCAGCTCTGAGTGACAAAGATGCCCTGGCCCTGACACCAGTGACAGCCAGCCAGCCAGGCGTGCTGCCAGCCTTGGCTTGCCTAGCAGAGGCAGAGGGGCCATGACCATTTTGCTGCATTGCACAGCTTCATAACTGCCTCTGTCTGGTGCAGGCCAAAAAGTTTCAAGATGACCAAAATGACCATACATCAAAATAATTACTTTCTACCCGAAGAACTCAGTTTTGAAGGACTGCAGATAGATACATGGTACTCAGTGCTCTTTAAAAAACAGAATTATTTACTCATAGAATAATACTGACTAAATGTAGATAACCAGGTAAGCAGCTGAAAATCATGTGATTAGGTAAAGTGTTCAAGATACTTGGAAATGTTTTGGCTTTTTATCTGGCTAGCATGAACATATTAAGACTTTCTCATGATATAGACAGTATGTGAAAACACTGCTGAGCATTTCCTTAGACATGCATTGTAGATGACATAGATTAATTAGGAATTCATGTTTTACGATGTGTTTACTTACACCACTATATCCCTTCAGTATGCAAGTATAACTTCGTGTTTCTGCATTACCTCAGATAACAATACTAAATCTCCTGGTTCATCTCTGTGTCTGGAGGAGCACTCTAGCGATTAGCAGGTCAGCTAGTGGAAGAGAAGCTAGATCAAGTCTCTCACAGCACTGCAATTCTAGATTCAACAACTGAGTGGAGTCACTTTGGGGATTCAATCAGTCAGCTTCAGAATATAAAGCTTCAGTATATAAGGAAAATTGTTAAAAACCAGTGCAGATCTTCCACTATGTTGGCATATGAAAATCATATCAATTTCCTGGTAGTGCATTACACCACAGCCCTTCCTCTACCACTACTTCCCTTCCCATTCCCACAAAGAGACACAGAGCTTTCTTCCCATCAGAAGGTCCAAAGAAAGGGAAGATTTGGTTAAATGTGCAATGTGTCAATGTGTGCTTGCAGCCCAGAAAGCCAGCAGTATCTTGGGCTACACCAAAAGAAGTGTGGCCAGCAGATCAAGGGAGCTGATTCTCCCCCTCTGCTCTGCTCCTGTGAGACCCCTTCTGGAGTCCTGCATAAAGCTCTGGGGCCCCCAGCACAAGAAGGACATGGAATTACTAGAATGAGTGCAGAGGATGGCCACAAAGATGATCGATTCGGGTTAAGCACCTCTCCTACAAAGACAGTCTAAGAGAGCTGAGGTTGTTCAGTCTAGAGAAGAGAAGGCTCCAGGGAGACCGTATAGTGGCCTTCCAGTACCTAAAGGGGGCCCACAGGAGAGCTGAGGAGGAACTTTATGTCAGGGAGTGTGGTGATAGCACAAGGGGTAAACTGAAAGAAGGTAGGTTTATATTAGATATAAGGAAGAAATTCTTCTCTGTGAGTGCGGTGAGGCACTGGAACAGGTTGCCAAGAGAAGCTGTGGAAGCTCCATCTCTGGAGGTGTTTAAGGCAAAGCTGGATGGGGCTTTGGGTAACCTGATCTGGTGGGCGGTATCCCTGCCGTAGGTTGGAACTAGATGGTCTTTAAGATCCCTTCCTAACCAAACCATTCTGTGATTCTGTGAACTATGAAATATCCAGGTTGATAGCCATGACTATAATTTATAAATTACTTAGGAAAAGCTGACCTGGACTAACCAGACTATGGCCATGAATTCCAAAGCAATGAGTTGTTTCTTTATTTTCAACTTCTGTGAATCATATTTTAATAAAAATTACTTTCATTTGCTTTATAGTAATTCACTTTGGAAACTCACACAAAGTGAAGACATGGATATTATCATTCACCATTGCTTCAGTACAGTCTTGGATGAAAAAGATGAATAAGAATAATCAGAGTAAGTGGGGAGCTAATTTGGAGAAGATAAAATACATTAATTTCCCTACACTGTCCTGCTTTTTATTTATTTTTTTTTAAAGTATTCTCTTTTTATCCATTAATATGGGCAGGAAAGGGGGAGGTAGAAGAAAGGGTACTACCACTGACATTCATTACATGGCAAACAGAAGGTCTGTCTTTGAATGAAAAGAGACATTGCAGAAGAAAAATACAGATACATTATTGTAAGTATTCTGCCTTCCTTCTTTTCCAAGGACCATACCATATTATTCGTGTAAATGACTCTTTACTAGACTAGAAAAAAATCCTAAGTGAGAATGTGTTTTATTTTATTGGTACTGTTCATTCATGTCCATGCCATGACATGTTCTAGTCACCTGGCTTGGGAAAAAGAATGGACTTGCCAGTCACTGGAACCTGTGTCTAATGGTAACCTTAAAATAAGGAAGGAAAACCTCTGCTGCTAACTGGGGGCAAACCACAGGTTTGCTGCTGTTGAGGAAAACTTAGTCAGAATCAAGCTTTAAAGATTGCTAACCCAACTTAAAAGCCTCCATCCAAGCAATAGATTAGGACTTGGGCAACATGAGATTGCTGCCTAGATCATCACAAACTTTCTATGTGTTTCTATTCAGACACCGCACTCGGGAATCAAATTTTGCATACTTACTTGGGTTCCTCAATGCAGTGCCATCAACCTGGGCTGCACTGACATCCAGTGAAGCAGGGCCTCTCCTCAGGCGCTGCTCAGCTCTCCGAACATCGAGGGAGCTGTGCCTGACTGCACGCCTACCAGAGACAAGGAACTGCATTGCTAGGTGCCTGGAAGCAGGTGCAATGAATCTGAGCCCTTAAAGTCTTCATGAATATGCTTGAAAGTTCCTTCAGGTGTCAAAAAAAAAAGCCAACTGAGACTTGCAAAACACTCAGATTTTCAACTCCTACTTGTTGCTCTATTTTGGGGAATCCTGGCATCTTTGCACAGCAAGCCTAGCTCTCACTTTCTTTGTGTTTCATTTCTGCATATACTTTGGGTTCCCATACCCTTTCAATGTATTAACTATTTTAACTGCAAACTGCTACATTCTGGTGTTGTGTCTAACTGCTCATATGCAAAACACTTTGTTATAGAACTAGAACAAATAAAGAAAAAAAAAACTGCTGAAATTAGAAGAAATAGGCAATGACTTGTACAAAGTCCTTGTAATGAGAAACTAGTTTAAAAGTACAGCTAGGGTATGTATGTGAGCTGTCCTTTTCTCTGTGAAGGAGAGAGAAATTTTGTGTTTATAAAAAGTTCAAAACTACTTATATTCTGATATTAACTGAGCACATGTGCTCAGTAATCTGTAATTGAATTCAATCTGAACTGTAGTATTCTTCAAATATTCAGAAACAACATGGCTGGGTGTCTCTTAATGAAGTGTTTCTGTAATTGCTGCATATGAATTTTAAAAGGTGAAAGATTGAAAGGCTAGAGAGCAAAGAACACCACAGAAGTTAAAACTGTTAGAAAATACATTATTATAATACTCCTGCAAACATATCAGAGCAAATAAATGCCAGATTTCCTTTCCTGTCATTATAAATTGCAGCTTATAGCCACAACAGCATATATAGACTTTAGAAAGCAAAATATGCTCTTGAAAACCTTTCTCAACAGTTCCAATTACAGAGTTATAACAACAACTTTAAAACAAAAGTTTCACATACCATTTTTGTGTGCTTCCACAGCTGAAAGATTTGTCGTTGGAGAAAACTGTAAACCAGAACAGAAGAAAATAGCATGAAAGAGGTCCCCACTGGTTCAGGTAAGATAGAGAGGAGAGTGTAGCATGACATAACTCACTCAAGACAAGAGCAGTAATACAACTTTATCTGTTTTCTCGTCAGCTGAACAGCAACTTGAGAAATAATTAAACATGAAACAACTGCTGCAGCCCACTTCCTCAAATATCTGTCTTTAAAATTAAAACAGTAGTAACTCAGTTACTCCTCCACCCCCATTAAAAGAACTGAGTACTATTTTTTGCCTTTTAAACAAATTCTCACATTACTCATAAATCCACGTGCTGCTGTGACAAAAGATTTTTTTTTTTTTTTTTTTTTTTCTTTTGGTCTCTTATGCCACAGTTTGCTCTCTTCCCTGCCACTTTGGAACATGCTTCTTATTTTAAAAACTGTGTGTTTCACCTATATACAGATCTACAGGCTCATAGCTTAAGAAACTATAAGAAGACCTACTCTAAGTTAAACAGTCAAGCCATGGAGAATCCTGAAAGAGGACTATTACAAAATATTCAGAATGAGAAAACGAGGTTAATCAGACAGGAGAGAAATGTGTTATGCAAGGGTAGAACTCACTTGAGACAACAAAGATTTATAGAAGCTCAAGTTCCTTTTTTTTTTTTCTTCATTTTTAGTGCAACCTGTATGACCACAGAAAGACGTTAACAATATTTTAAATTTGGAAGTTTAATATTTTTTATTATTATTGTGGAGTCTCCTTCCTTGGAGATATTCAAAAAGCATTTGGATGCCATCTGGTGCAATGTGCTGTAGGTGACCCTGCTTGGCAGGGGGGTTGGACTAGATGATCTTTAGGGGTCCCTTCCAACCTCAGCCATTCTGTGATTCTGTGATTATTTGGGGTTCCTTTCTACTGCTAATAGCTTTTTACTAAGAATCTTTTCAGTGCCTAATACAAACAGACAAATCTCTTAATTTTTTTTTTTCCATTAAGAATTCAGCTTCAGTGAATAGGATTTAGGGGGGAAGGAAAACAGAAGGGAAAAAAAAAAAGAAAAAAAAAGAAAGAGTGGCAAGGACATGGAAAACAGCATATTAAGAGGTAGAAAGTGCTGTGAGTTTCATATTTAGAAGTTGCTATGCTTAGCAGTACAGGATAATTTGGTGGTTAGGATATTTATTAGTGTTAATTTATTCATTTTATTTATTTTTCTGTACATATTTTTCTTTACATTTTGAATATCCATTCATAATTTCTTTGACTGTTGTGGAGCTGACCTCGTTTTGAAAGACTGAAACCCAATGAAAGAACAGAGACTTAACTTGCAATCATGTTTTAAAATCCCCATCTTTTCGTGGCTGACTCATATAAACAAAAACAAGAAAGCACACAGAAGAAAACATTTTGTGTCATTACCATTTCAATCAAGGAGTAGGAAAGGGCTCATTAATTCATGATAGGTTCGGGACTGTGTTTCTCATATTCTGTACTTGATTACTAAAATACTGTAATAATAATAATAAAAAGATTAGCTTGCTATTGACAAGTAACTGGATTTTTTCTTTTCATGCAAGATGCACTGAGGTTTTCATTTAGGGTTATTATAAATAATGCAGATGTCTCACTAAAATCCTGCTAAGTTCTACAGGACCATTCAACGCTCTTCTGGGAGGAGGAAAACATTCATTGCAATACCATACATTAGCTATTCCACCTAGAATACTTCACAGATTGTACATCATCAGAGCAGAAAGTTATCTGTAGCTCATCTATAGCTATTCATCTTATTATAAAACAAATGTGCTTACTTGTGTAATAGTACCTAAAAGAATGACAGCACACGAGCTGGATTGTGAAAGCTGATTTTTTTCAAGCACCTAAATATGCCTCTGATTTATTACACTGGAACAGAGCTTAAGCGTGAGGTGCTTAACGTCCACTCACTTTGATTGTAAGTAGGTTTTCTAAAGCACAGTGTGCAGTCACCCAACCCCATGATTTTCAACAGGTACTCAGTGCCTTTGGAAATTTCCCTGGCAGTCTATAGCTACAAACTTCAGGAACTTTAATAGCTTTACTGTCACTTTGCTTTTTCTTTTGGACTAAGGCTGATTTTATTTTATTTATTTTATATTAGGAAGTGACTGTCACTCAACCAAGAGCATCAAGAGCATGAGAGTTTCAATTCCGCACAGAGTGAAACTGCAACTTTAACACTAACAGAATCACAAAGTGCCTTTTTTTTTTTTAATCTAAGAAATGGGTAGCAAAATATAGTAATATATTCCTTCAAAAGCAGGGGGTCAAAAGCAGGGAGCTCAGCAGCCACAAACTTCAGAGCTATAATTTGATTTTTGGAGGCTCAGGGTTTAAAATTGACTTACTGTTTTAAAAGTTCAGTTTTCCCTTGCGCAAAATTTCTCTTGCCTGCTGAGAAACACAAAGTAACCAAAAGCGCTGTGTGTCAGGAAAGGACATGCTGGTAAAAACATGGGTACTTTGCTGGCTCTCTGAATGGAGAATAACATTTAAAATAGAGCAAGGTTCTTTAAACTTCTTAATCTTTCAACTACGGGTTTGGGTTTCAGCTAGATTAAAATCAGACTGGTGAAGATCGAACTTCTATAATTTCTTTTTTTTTTTTTTTTTTAATTCTAAATTAAAGTTTACAGTATGTTATTGCAGTTTATCAAAATAATGATTCTACTGTGTTTGATTTAAAGCTAGGTAGTTTAGTTAAAGTCTTGAAGTCTTATGATAATGTTTTCTCTCTAAAGAGGCAACCCTTGTACCAATGATAGCACTAAAAGTATCCATTAAAATAAACTTTCAGAGTGTAGTGTTGCACAATTTACCAAGGAAATTATCACATAAGTTGCTCAAATTTTGAAATATATAAGCTGTTTAAACCAATGCAGACAGATGTACAAAGAGAACCACAGACAGAAATGGATAGCAGAATTGAGGAAATGGTAACAAAATAATTTGCAGAAGCCTTGAGGGATGTACAAATGTAAAAATTCCTGCTGAAAGCATTTGCAGAACTGTGTTTGTAGCCATTAAATGCGATCAAAACAGTAAACAGAACACAACAGCAAAGAAGATTGGCCTACGTCAAAGGCAGAGGATGGGAAGTGGTTTCCCTCTCAGCTTTCTGGTGAGAGGACAGCTTCACAGATCTACACAAAGAGCTTACCCAACAGTCCTGAGAGCTAAAATATCACTGATGGAGCTGCTACCAACACAGAAACAGACTTTCCCATTTCCAAAAACAGATTGTGCCAGGCTACCACAGTGTCAAGACTGACTGCTTCATGTTTACAAATCATTTTGCATTTGCTGAAAGCAAAGGTGCCTTGTGTTCTTGTTACTGAGAATGGCTTACCAACAAGGTAGGTAGTAGTCGTCTAAAGATGTCTGACATAGGACAGAGTTAACTTCTATGTTCTGTGCTGCCACTGGGCCTCTCTCATTTCTCCCATCCTAAGGGGTCAATAGATAGGCCAGGCAGAGGGGGCACCATTGCTTACCTCTGGAGAGAGGGAGGAGAAGTGCTAAGGAAGTGATGCTGGACAAGCACATATGCAGGAAGTTCCACCAAATCACACAACTGGCACGTTCAGGGCAGTTTGGGCATTTATAGCTTGTATAGCCTCAAATTCTATTTCTTGTTGATGAAATGACTAGTCTGCAGGACTAAAGTGATTTGAAAAGTTTCATACAGATAATTCTTCTATGGTTTTTCACATTTTTCTCAAGCAAGAGCACTGAGGGAGCGCTAAAACAACCTTTGGAGAACATACCGAAACCCAGACATTGTTGAATCCAACCAAATCACGCAGCAAAAATAACAGCTCTGCATAAAATAAAGGCAAGCAAACAACAGTAAGGATGCTCACATAAACACGTAGATATTACAATTTATGGGCTTTTAGAGATGATGTAACATGATATTGCCCATTCATTGTCTGATATTGCCTTTAAAAAATTGTGCATGACACTTATTGGGAGAGGGCCACTGTTCAGCAGAGGTTATTTTGGACCTACCTAACCTCATGCACTGCAGCTGAAACAGATTGATCTCCTTTTTCCTTCCATATATATTTTTATGCATGCATAACATCTATATATGGACACATTTGTGCATTATGGAGCTTATATATCGTATGCATGTGTAGATGGTTGCTCACCATACCTGTGTTGTTCTACAATATCCTTTAATAAGTTTCTGCCAGAATAGCTTTTTCTGTCAATAATGGTTTTCAATTGATTGTTTGGTGTTATGTCAGCCTAATTTAGCCCAAGGGGACTTTGAACATCAGCAGCCTCCAAGGTTGTCTCTCTGGCCCCCACAGTGCCTTAACCTGCACAATGCTGAAGGTCTTCCCCTTGCAGCCACGCAGGTGCTCACGCACAGCCCTGTGTCCTTCCTCCCTGCCTGCTCTGGCAGCATCTCACCTAGTCCTCACGCCAGTGGTCTCAGGGCTGTGTCCCTGCAACCTGAACCACACAAGCATTTGTATGGCTGGGGCTGCTGAGCTGAAGGCCAGCGGCATGTGCCTCACGCTCTCATCTCCCTGAAATATACACTTACATACAGAAATATACACTATATACAGAAGTGCATATACACTTCTAACAACCTCCCATGCTAGTATTTGCTCTCTGCAATGTCTTTTATCTTTCTCTTCTTTTACCTTTACTTGCAAGTACAATGCAACAGAGAAGAGTGAGAAGATCGTCCAAACCACACCTCACCTGTCTGGCTGGGACAGAGTTAGCTTTCTTCCTAGCAGCCTGTACAGTGCTGTGTTTTGGATTTATGACCAACACAGTGTTGACAGCAGTGACTTGGCTATTGCCGAGCAGCACTCACATGGCATCAAGGACTGTTTCCCACTCTACCCCCTAGGGAGTATGCTGGGGGTGGGCAAGATGCCAGGAGGGGAGACCGCAAGGACAGTTGACCCCCTCTCACACAACAGGGGCACTGCTTACCTCATGACATGGTGCTCAGCAATAAAACTGGATGAGGAGGAGGGTGATTCTCCAAAGAAGCAATTGCTCAGTGTGGCTGGGCACCAGTCTGCCTG